GAGGAAGATTTCTCAAATAGGCCACAGCCTGGGGAGTGATGGACTGAAACTTCACTCAAGGGGCAGAAACAACACAGAATTACACACAACCGGCACAAAATACAGATACACACATACTGTATAATGTGGAACGTACAGTATGAGAAACCTTAAAGGAGGATGCACTGTGCCAGATGGGAGCTGGGGTTTCAAATTTAACCCTACAGTAAAATTAGAGGGGCTGAGATGCATAACTCAGCAGTTCTAAATACCCAGAAGTCTTTAGAGGGTCTCATTCTCTGTCTCTCTTCAGCTCTGTCTGTCTCTCCTTTCCGTTTCCATACCTTTCGCTTTCGCTGTGTTTTCACTTTCCTCTCTTTGTGTCACCCACCCTCATCCTTTATCTCAAACACACACACACACACACACATTCCACAGAGAGAGAGCGCCGCACCCACCGCGCCGACTGCCAAACTGACTCAACACTTTTCACGCAATTCATTTGTCACAGTAATGAAACAACCATGGATCTCACCGGGCCTTTATCAATATCATCTCTCAAACGCGGGGCTTCAGTCCAAAAGGAATTGCTTCAGAGTCTTTGCTCCTTTCTACACTTTGTCCAAATGTATCCAAACTGTTGTGTGTGTGTGTGTGTGTGTGTGTGTGTGTGTGTGTGTGTTTGTGTGATATTTGCATTTGTGCCAGCAGGTGCGTTTATGGATTCAAATACCTTGATTTGCTTGGACCCATCCCCAACACTAAACCAGACAGGAGTGCCTGCAGAGCGCAAAACTAGACATGAACAGGTGTTGCTTTATATTCAGAGGCAGATTGGCTTCAAGTAGGGAGGTTGCAGACTGTCTGATAAGTTGTAGAACTGAAAACTTTTTCAAAGGTCAGTCGTGAGCTTGCATATTGTTGTTTATCCAGACTTTTTTGCCGGGAATGTCTGAAAAATGTGTTGGCCTGTCTTCATGTGTGCTTCTACACATTGTTGATGGGCACTAACTGGTAGAGGTATGCATATTAAAGCTGCTACAAGCAATACTTTTACACTAACAAAGGATCAAATGACTGTGTGTAATGTGAAAGTGTCACTCGTAGACCAATCCACAGTGCAATTTCCCTCAGATATCTTTTAGCTAACTGTTTTGGTTTTACCACCACAACTATTTTGATTCACTCTCACCACTCTCATCTGCGAGGTATTTAACCATTTGAGGCAGCTGTTGCTTGGATAAACTACTACTTGGGGTGGCAGTAGCTCAGTCCATGGGGCTTTAGGTCAGGAACCAGAGGGTTGCCGGTTCAAGTACCCATCCGGACCAAATATAGAATGTAGACTGGTAGCTGGAGAGGTGCCACTTCACCTCCTGGGCACCAAACCCCCAACTGCTCGGGGCACTTGTCCAAGGCAGCCCCCTTGCTCTGACATCTCTCCATTTAATGCATGTATAAGTCCTGTTTGTGAATGTGTGTGTATTTCAGGCCTGTGTGTATATGACAGCAGGGTGAACAAAATGAATTTCGCCTCGGTGATTAATAAAATATATATTCTTCTCCTGAAATGTTTTTCAGCATAAAAAATTATGTTCGTCACATTAAAGTGTTGTAGTCAGTTGATTTTAATAAGTTGGTCAAAATCAAAAACATTTTTTACATTTTTGTGTAGAATTGACTTAAAATAATAAATGAAAATATCTTAAATAAAATAATTTGACCACTAAATGTCACCACAGCTTTTGGATATATATTAAGTTGGATCAACTTAATTAAGCTATCAAGGTCAAAGCAAATCATGTTGGTTGTACTAAACTAATTGAGTTTGTTGGATTATAAAAGACATAGGATTGACTCAATGATGCCAGAGTTGGAACAACTAAAAAAGATGCATGCAAATTGTTACTTTATTTTTTAAGTTGAACCAGTGCATTTTATTGGTTTATCGATACTAATCAATCCAGAATTTTTAAAATGGGTTTCAATCATCATTTTCTGCTGTTCTCTGCTTCTAACCAAGAAAATAAAAGCCTAGTTCCCATGTTATAGCTTTTTTATACATTTATCTTTTAACAAAACATTTTAGATTGTATGCCCTCAGTGTAAATTGTTATATTGAAGTGTTTTAGTCAACATTTATTGTAAGAAGTTTGACGAAATAAAAAACATTTTTTACATTTTTGAGTAGAATTGACTTAAGATAATAAATCAAAATATCCTAAATAACATAATTTGACAGCTAAATATCACCACAACTTTCGGATAAATAATAAGTTGGTTCAACTTAATTAAGCTTTTTAAGGTCAAAGTTTGTCAGATTAGTAAGACTCATAGAATTGACTGGATGATGCCAGTGTTGGAGTAACTAAAAAAGATGCATGCAAGTTGTTACTTAAGTTGAACCAGTGCGTTATTTTTTAGTGTTGTACAAAATATTGGTTTATCGATACGAATCAATCCGGAATTTTTGAAATGGTTTCAGTCATCATTTTCTGCTGTTCTCTGCTACTAACCAAGAAAATAAAAGCCTAGTTCCCATGTTATAGCTTTTTTATATTTACTTTTTAACAAAATGTTTTAAATTTTATGCCCTCAGTGTATCGGAAATAGTTTCCAGTGTTAATATTTTTCAAAGTATTGCAGCAAAATTGGAAATTCCAGTATCATAACAATGCTACTTCCCAGCACCAAACGACTGACAGACAAAGTTAGCAGCTAGCTGGTGAACGCTGTGAAGCATTAAGCAGCAAAATAGCTGGAGAATATTGAATTAAGATATGTCAATGTTATTATTACAGCTTGTTGCGCTGCCTCCACATTGACAAAAAATAAGTGATTACAGGTTTAACAGTGCATGCATTGTGGAAGGTGCTGGCATTGCTCGCTAGTGTGATTAAAAGCATCTATACTGTAAGACGAAATTCTCCGATGCCTGGAAGAAAACCAACCAACCCTTTCGTCTCTGCGCTCCACATGCCCATGTTTTCTCGCCTTTCATTTCACTCTTGTTCTCTGCTCTATCACACCTCTACTCCCATCATTCTCTGCCTGTCACCTCCCACCACCAGACATCCTGTCTGCGAACAGTCCGCATCGCTTCCTGTGTCTGCCCGTGACTTTGTGCCCACTCTACCTAAAGGGAACTGTTAAGATCCTTAGGAGATGTCATGGGCACGCTGTATACATTCATGACGCATTCATACCTCCTTTCATTTGCCTGCACATTTCACACATTTCAGAAATAGAAGCATGTATGTCCTTGTGGTAGCATGCATGGCAAGTGGATGTCTGTGGTATACATGTTGGTGTGTGGTGTCACTGGAATGCTTTAATGTCAGTTTTTAACAAGGGAGTGCTCCTAAGTAGGACCATGAAGCTGCTTTTAGCCGCAATGTTGAATTCCTATGTGTTTGCAATAACTTCTGTCAGGACGCAAAGCATTTTGTGATATCATTTCCCCAGTCTTATTTTTATCTGCAGCTGGTCAGTGTTTTCCAGAGGCTGTGCTGGCTGTAAACACAGCCTGAGAGTGTCCTTTGTCTGCGGGTGATGCAGGGACGTATTTCTGGAGAGGAAGCGGTCCGTCTCTCCTGCCAGCATATGGCTCCTCATGCATTTTAATGTCTCACTGTCCCTGCCAGTCAAAAACAGAACAGCCCTGAGTCCAAGGACAGGACAGAGAAGTGGTCTGAAATAGAGACATCTGTCCGTTGGGGTCACTCTGACAGAGAGACAGAGGGAGGCAGGGGATGAGTGAGGATGAGGGGACGCAGTGTCAATAGACAGATGAGGAAGAATCGGAAAAAAAACAAGAGCATTGATTGAAAGAGAGAGGGGATGGTGGAAAGAAGAGGGAGAGGAAGATGGATGAGTGGGGTTAAGCAGGGCACAAGGCACAGCTGTCAATACTTACAGTGATACTTGGACAGGCCATGTTGCGCTGTCACGCATTGTGTAAGAGTTCCACTCACTGTTCATGCAGTAAGTGACAAATCCACTGGCTTAAACTGATGTGTTTCATATTGTTGCATAATTAGGTCTTTTTCTAACAGGAGGCTGGTTGTTGTAACATCCTCCCTCGCTGGTGCATATGTCCCCCCATACTTGGAGCTCTGGGTTTACATGTGCACTTTACATGTACAGTATCTTTCAGTGGAGTTTTCAAGGGATTTGTTAAGCAGGTCACCCCCGGGCCTCTGTCTGTCTCACCATGGTACGCTCCCGTAATACCTCTCGGTGCTAATGCTAAGCTCACATTGATCCCAGAACGTATTACTCTTCTGCCTTTTGGTTTTTGAGCATCAGTGTGGCGTAGCAGACGTGGATGCAGGCTCTGCACATGCTGTCATTATGTCACTTCTTCCTTTTGCTTGTTTCTTTTAAGCTAAGAGTAGGGTTGAAAGCACCTCCCTTAGGGTTATAAAATCTGTGATATTTTTAAAAATAAGAACAACTAAAATTTGTGTTTTTTATTCATTAATATATGAATTGGTTTTCTAATGTATCAGTCACCTGAAACATTTTTTTGCAGGCATGGGATTCAAACCTAAGCCTTTGCTGCACCACCTGCTGTTTATACATGATATGATATGATGGGATATGATATGATATTTGTGTTTACATGTATGTGTGTTTGTGTGTGCCTTTTGGGCACCGCTCCCGTATGGTCCAGCGGCAGTGCAGTGCTCCAGACTGGATTAAGGTCTTGCTTGGATGTGGCTGCGCTCCATTTGGAAAATCAGGATTTGGATTTGAGATAGAAGCACAAGGGGAGGTGTTATGTTATCCCCCAGGAGGGACAGGCTGAGTGATACAGCTCAAAGATGAGGAGGAGCAAGAGGGAGGAAGGGATGGAGGGTCAGAGAAGAGGAGCAAGACGGGGAAAAGGACAGTAGAGGGAAGCTGATGATGATGTAAGAAAATGTTTATCTACCACACTTCCTCTTCAAACATGGCGGTGTTCCTCCTCTGTATTTCTTTACCTCTGAGACTCTAATAATGTTTTTTTGCTTTTTCAGAACGGCCCATGCCAGAACAAAAAGCGAGGCTGCAGACCAGGCTGCCATCTCTGCTGTGCACGACTCAGAAATTGCCAGGGCGGTTGCTAGAGAGCTCTCCCCCAACTTCTACCAACCAGGTAACCTTTAACAACAAGCCTCTGCACACAGCACACATCTGATATTTTAAAGACATCACACAGTGTAGCAGGGACATGTGTCTTGAGTCTCTGTAGAGACTTTCCCACTGCCTAAATGTGAAATACGGTCTGCAGGTGCACTGAGGGGTCAGGGAGGTCACATGTGTTATGAAATACAACACTCTGTGACTTTATTTCAAGTGGCTTAAGTCCCATAAACCTTTAACTAGCTATGCCTGCAAACAAGGTTTTAGCCAAGGTTTTTTTTGACATATTATAGACAAGACATGACTCACCCAAAAATAAAGTTGCAGCCCTCAAGCCTGATTGGGGCTTTAACCAGTGGTGGAAGAAGTACTCTAAAGCAGCAATACCACAGTGGAGAAATACTCTGTTTCAAGTAAAGGTCTTGCATTTAATCTTAGTAAAAGTACAAAAGTATTAAGATCAAAATATACTTGGAGGTCCAGTGTGTAGGATTCAGTGGCATCTAGCCAACTGAAACTTCTCCCAGCTTGTAGGAGAACTATGGTGGCTGATGCAATAATGAAAATGGCCCTATGTAGAGCCAGTGTTTGGTGTGTCTATTCTGGGCATGGCTGACTCTGTGGAAGAGGACCCTCTCTGTATGTAGACATGAATGATTCACCCTAAGGTAACGAAAACACAACAGTTCTTATTTTCAGGTGATTATACACAATTGAAAACATAGTTATGAATATTATATACCCTTTCTGTAAACAGATGCCTCTAAATCCTATACACTGGACCTTTAAAGTACGCATAGTAAAATTACTCATGAATCAAAATTGCTCATTTCAGAATAAAATATAATATTTTTTTGGATAATAATTATTGATGCATTAGGCCTGGATCACACAGAAAGCTTTTTGTAATTGTTTTTGATGGGAATTAAGCTTTTTGCTCGTGGTTTTAGTGTTGCGTCTCACTTTGAGTTTCTGCGCTCTACGTGCCTGGCATTTTTGCTCGACGCTCTAAACTCCTCAAGTTGGCAAAACTTCAACTCACAGCAGAAAAGTGCCCCACAACATATATTTTTTGGTCATTGTTTTTCCCATTGTCCGATCGGATGATTTGAGAGGCGGGCCTTCTGTGTAAGTTTAATTTAGTAAACAATGGAGGAGAAGCTGGTGGTAGCGGCCGCTTGATACCCAGAGCTATACGGCCCGACAATAGACAGCAGGTTGTCAAACTGCCCCTGAGATATCTTGAAATACACCTTGAAACTGCCATCATCGAGGAGAAGCTCCTGGACCAACTGGTGGTACTCCCCATGCACCCTCTTCATTAGGGTCTCATGTACCCACACAGATCCTTGTTTCCCTGTGCCCAACAAACTATTCGCTGACAGCCTCTCACCCTCAACCAGAGCTACAGCAAGTACCCTCTGCCCCCTGTGAAATGAATACAGATAAATAAACAGTAGATTGATTAGGTTAGGTTAAGGCGGTGATGGCATAGTTGCCTTGCAACAATAAAAAGGTACAGCATCCGTCTTTTTCTTACTAGTGGCATTAAATTAAAAGGAAAAAAAAGCAGTGTGGTGCAACCTGCAAAATGCTTTCTGTAAAATCGGGGCCTTAATGTGTTCATACTTTTGATGTTGCAACTGTTAAAGGTGGAGCTAGTTTTTTACTATATGAACTGTGAGGTCGGTTATGAATTTCACAAAAAAAAAACAAACAGTTATGTGTTATCTTTATTTATGAAAATACATAATTTATTAGTTGATCATATTTTGAATTAATAATCCAGATCTATAAAGTGTTGTAGTGCAGTAAAAAGTACAATATTTGCCTGGGAGCTGTGTGGGAATAGAAGTACAAAGTAGCATAACATGGAAATATTTAAGTACAGATACCTCAGAATTATCCTTAAGTACACATAAATGTACTTAGTTACTGTTCACCTCTCCTTTAACTCCCCTGACAGTGGGACATTTACCCAGCCAATCTATTCTAAAATCCCTCCTCACCTCCACTATCCCTTTTTTTAGCTGCACCATCCTCCACCAACCAATTTGTCCTTTCGAACCATGTTTTTAGGAACTGGCGAACTGTTAGGATGTTGGATTCTTTATATGACTAATGATGTTTGCACAGTTTTAGACTTGGTAACACAGGCTGTGTCTGACTCAGTAATGAACTTGTTGTTGGTGCACAAAAGCGTAGGGTTTGGTGTTCCAGGATTGTAATCGAAGACTAGAGGTATTGAGGATGACTTCCATCGTCACAATGGGGCCCTGTGTGTGTGCTTCGACAAAGCCAAGCCTGCTTGAAGCAGGGTGCTGTATTCTGGATGGAAGCCTTGTCTCTGCTCTCAAAGGCCTGTTGTAACAGCTCGGAGATACTTGCTAAAATTTGCAGTCATAAACGCTGCCAAAAAAAAGTGAGAACAGCAAAAAATGTTTTCTGTTCTTTTAGTTTTTCAGATCGTGTCAAAGTTGTAGCTTTAGCGGAGTGTAGAGATGTCTTACAGGTACAGTATGTTCGTGGAGGGCAACGAAACCTACTGCTCCTAATACCAAGCAGTTCTCATCTTTCCTCTGCCTGGAGGTTTAACAGGCACACTGCCATACTATACAGCAGCTCCCAGCGTAGGGTGTCGACTCAACTCTGTTTAGTTCATTTACAAGGTAAGCTGAGTTTCACAAGGCAATGCTGGACATATAATACTACACAAATAGTGAGGGGTACAGATCCTTTTTGGTCAAAGGGGTGGGGTCAGAGGTGGAGCGCAAGGGCACAGAGAGGGCAGATGAAGGTGAATCAAAACTGAGCCTTTAATGTGGCGTTATTTTTCCCCCTTGGTTATTTCTGGTTCTTTCTGAGAGCCGATTAAGGACAGTTTTTGTCTTTGCTCAATGTTAAAGGTTCAGTATGCACACGCTCACACTGAATTAATTTGTGATTGTTCTATAGCCATCAATTGGTTGAAGCAGAGTGCCACAAGTGTCATGTCACACCTTTTTTGTTTATTTTTATTTACAGCGTAAGATCTATTCACGCCTCGCCTCTTCCACTGTTTGTATTATATTTAGGCCTGTGAGTTAGCCGACCTTGGGCCCTCGCCAAAAGCCGCCACAAAATAGTGGGTGACAAATAGATTGACAATGGGACCCATTCAAGCATGTCCCTGCACTAAGCCGGAGAAATGGCCGGCCCGGGCCAGAGACATCCTGCGGCTTGTTTGTGTTGTGGAAAACGGCGATCATGCTTGGCAGGCCGGGTGATCTCCGGGGTTCACAAGTCAGCGCGGAGAGTGTCCTTGCCTTATAAGTCAGATCATGAATGAGAAAGCGGGCGATGTCATTATAATGTGCAGCGCGCGGCGACATCTGAGCCGCAGCATTTAAACATACGGTTATGTAAGCGTGTCTGGTAAACCAGACCGCCACCTGCAAATAGCTAAACCCTGTTTTCCATACAGTCATTTTAATCCACTTTATGGAAGTCTTTGTCCTTAAAATTTTTTACACAAGCTGGTTTCTTCCAGAAGTTTGTGGAATCTAGAACGGCCTGCTTAAAGGTTTGTTGCTGGTTTATCCTTTGGCAGGTTATGAGTGCAAACAGTTTCCCCTATTTGCAGCTTCCTGGCAAAACGACCACCACTGTTTTTGGCTTCAAAGACAAAATGTGCTGTGTTAAAATATTCCAAGTTGCTGTAGAATCCAGCCTTTTATGTGTCGATTTGTCTTTCCTTAGTGCGACAAAGCTACTCAGTCTGAGTACCTAGACGTAACTTGTGTGATTTTCCCAAATTAATCGTCTTTGCTTCCTCATTGTCTACCTCTGCAGTGGAGATATTCTCACTTACCCCCATCCCACAGCTTCTAATAAGTCCTCTAGGGTAACAACCAGAGGTCTAAACCCCTTGTTGTTTGTAATTGGCATTTCAGACTCATAGCAGATTATCACCCAGATTGGGAGTGTGTACTTCAAAAGGGAAGAGAGGGTCACAGGGAATAGGACCCTGACCTTTATGATTGGTTCACACACAGTACCCTGGAGGGGGAGCAGCGAGGGTTAGCTGTGGGCGTGGCCTGTGTCGTGACGTTAATTGGGCTATATTTGGTGCTGATGTGTGCTCACTGGGGTCTAATGGAGACATAGCTGAAATCCTTATGCACTGAGAGGAGCTCGGGCCCCGCTCTCGCCCCCTCTCCAGGGCTGACGCAGAGCAGCTGTCGCTTCCTTCAGCCGGTCGCTGGAGGGGGGTCGGAGGGTGGGGGGCCCAGCAGGGAACCCGCTCCTCCCTGTTTGACCCAGTCAAGGTACACTTGAACCAGGTGGAGCCATAAAAGACTGGACCTGTCAGGGCTGAGAACCAGACATGAGCAGGTGCTGCTTTATATTCATGGCAGCAGGTGTCGAGGAGTAAGTTTCAAGACAGTAGTTCAGATGAAGTTCAAAGTTATGCAGCAACTTTTTTTTTTATAACTTTCAAGGATACAGCATATTAATTATTCTGAGATTCTTTTCCAAACAAATTTGAAAAGCTTTTTTTTAAGGATCCGAAACTTCCAAGAAACAAAATGGTTCCCACAATGGGGATGGATTAAGATCTGTAAAATATAGAGCTGTTACGATTAATTGATTAGTTGTCAATCATTAATTTGGTAATCAATTAATCAGTTTGAGTAATATTTTTAAGAAATAAACTTTAAATTCTCTGATTCTAGCCTCTTAGATGTGAATATTTTGGGTGTCTTCACTCATCTATGACAGTAAACTGAATGTCTTTGAGGTTGTGGACAAATTTAGAGGACGTCCTCTTGACTTTAAGAAACACTGGTCGACATTTTTCACCATTTCTTGACATTTTATAAACCCAACAACTAATCGATTAATGAGGAAAATGATTTCTGGACAGTGAAAACAGTCGTTAGTTGCCGCTGCAGTACAACATAAAGTTTGCATTTGTCTCTTTTCCTGCTGCGTCTCTCAGCATGCTCTGTCTCTGTCAGTCACATGTCAGTTCATGTGAACACGAGGCCTCCCATGTTCTTCTTTGCATGTAGCCACTTACAAACAAAGCACAGGAAGAGAGTAATTATACTCAGTCAGTAGCCACAGACAAAGGGGCATACTTTATTTGCATGTATGAGTGCATATGACGTGCTCATTAGTTTGCCAGTTTTGGGCTTTATCCTGGTTTCGATCTTGTCCAGTATGTCTACAGGAAGCATAAGAAACTTGATTATTCATATTCTTGTATATATTATTTTAACAGTATCCAAGTTTCGGGTCATGTGTGTACCAGGGTATGATGTTTACATGCGCAACACACAACTCCAAAAACCTGATCGTAATCAGGATACTGTTGTGCATGGAAACGCATCCCATGTACTGTAACAGTAGTGGAAGTAATCTGGCTGAACAATGACAGCTCCCCCTGCCCATCTGCTAGTGTGAGTGGGAGGAAGAAAGAAAATCTAAAAAGCTACAAACTGAGTCATGAATATTAAATATAACAGCGTAGAGAACATGCTGAGATCACAACCCACAGAACAGACTAATACGTATATAATATGCAATGTTATATTGGGTTTTGAATAGAATAAGATATTTCCAAACGCATCAAAAACAAAGAACACACACCAGGAAAATACCTGTCACTGCCACTCACTTGAAAGACATGCTATTATATTTGACATATACAATGAAGCACTCCCTAGGAAATGTGTATTTATGTACCTGTTGTCGGCTCTGTGCATCTGACAATGATGTAAAGGCAAGGCAGCAACCTGTCACAATTCATATAGCAGCAACAGCCTTTTGCCAGTGTTTGACTGTCATGAAAAACAAGCTTTAGATGGTAAAAATAAACATTTTCTCATAGGCTAAAGTTGCTGAACGCCCTTTCAACTCTGGACTTTATCACACTAGATTATATGCTACCATCCCCGTACTTGAACCCTCCGTTGAGCCAAAGTGATGCACGGTGGCAACAGATGTGATAACGGCACACACTGTGCTCTTTCGCCCCCGACTGTATATACACACATCCATGCATGTACGCTGAAGCTGAAGCTACGCTCTTGCTACTGCTTTTCATCTCATATTAAGGTCAGCAGGGGTTAGGCTGGGTCTTAAACAGCCGATCTGTTGTGTTTTGTGAGAGTATATGGCCGTGTGTGTGTGTGTGTGTGTGTCAGCGCGTGTGTTTTGCCAAGAGTGCACTGGAGCAGAAAATGTGCTGTGGATTAACATGAAGAGAACTGGCAAACACAGCTTAAACAAACGCTTGTATTCGAATAACCTCAAAGAGACAATGATGGATAAAAAGACACAGTATTGGGGAAAAAAATAAAATGCACGTATCTTGAATTTCAAGGGGGAAAAAAATCCTCTTAATGCCGTAATTCATTTGTGCTTATTTTGGTTTGTGTTGAGTATTCTTGTCTTGGTCATGACTAACGCCATGGCCCATTTTAATGACCCTCTTTGGAAGGCTGTGGACTCAGCCCAGCTGATCAATGTTCAGATGAAAGAAACACCACGGCCATTTGGGTAATTGAGTCCCGGTACATGTTCCAGCTGACCTGGCGGGATTCCTTGGTAGAGTACATCTAATAAATCTTCCCCTGCTCTTCACAACAAGATCTACACATGCTCAAGTATCTGCAAAACATCTACGAGTAATTAGATTAATCAAAGAAAAAATTCACGAAAATTCTTCGGCAGCTTTCTAGGGTTGAAACACACAAAAAAAACATGTTGTGTAGTGTAGTGGAAGTCGTTTTTGATGCGCAGTGTCGTGAGCGTGCGGCTGGGGGTCATTTTAGTGTTGATAACCATTCAGAAAATGCCTGGAACCCCTAACAGGAATCCGTCCCCAAACAGTGAAACTGCCCAGACCCGCCCACGAAGCTCTAACTCTTATTGAGTTATGGTGTGAAATCAAGCTCAGAGGATACATTAAGCCCCACAGATGTCCAAATGTCCCCTCAGTCTCTTTGTAGTGGGTCTTATTGGTTGTGGCAGTGATGAAACAAATTAGGAATGCCACACAGCCGAAAAATACTTTGGGCTTATGAGTACTGAGGTCCAAAAGGTTCTGCGCTGATGTGGGATTGGATACACATGTTCCCTTTTGGATCTCATGTTTGCACAATTGCTCTTAGAGGGTATGAGGGTCAAATCTAAATCAATAGGAACTATTTTTCCATTGAATTACAGTGTGCAAACTTAATAAGTGGCATGTGTATAAGAGGCGTCTGGTAAATCCTTTTGATTGATCTCTGAGATTAACCCATTTTTAAACACAATAACTGAACGCACAAACATGAATTACATCACCTGACACTGCCTCAGTATGTATTATCTGGTGAGGGTGAAAAATATTTAATCAGCTGTATGTTCTTTCTAGATTTATGTCTCTTCATTTCAAATTGGCTATACGGGATGCGGAGGATCCTTCTCTGCTCATACCATCTGATGTACTTCACACAAAGCAGCATTGTCCCTCTCTTAGTCACTCTGACACCATCTAATTTAGGCGAAGTGAAAAAAAACACAGGCTTACAAAGAGCCCGATGTCTCTAATAAATATTAATTCAGCACGGAACAAAGGGACAAATAAAGTGTCATTTTTCTCACATATAAAAAGGCATTTATATTCGGATTTAAGAGCTTTAGTCCACACATTAGAGGATGCAGCATTTATAGTGGCAATTCAAAACATATAGTTAAAAGAGGAGTGCGCACTTACAGTATCATTACACTATCTGGGTCCACTAACCCAGGACCTCAGTCCATAAACAGCTGAAAGGAAGTAGCCAACAGTACGAGCTTCCCCAGACAAAAAAGAGGCATCGCTGCACCTTAAGGTCGGCTCTCTTTATCTGTGCAGCCGTGTTGGTGCGATGCTGAGAATTGATGTGACAAGGGCTTTTCCAGGAAAACAACACACTGATAAAAGAGAATGGCTGATGATAAAGATGAGCCTGCAGAGGAGGCTTCCTTTGTGAAATGGTGTTTGTGACCCTGCATTAATCAGTCTATTCTCCCCTGTCTCCCCCCAGTGATGATTGCATATATAATGTTGATTCATGAATATTTTAATTGAAAGTTCAACTGTGCTTAGGGCCAGCTCTGATTTAAATTGAGCTCACAGTGGAACTCTGCAGTCAGGCAGGATGGAGAGCAAATTAAGGGTGTTCTTTGCTCCTAATCTGGCGTTTTGGACGGTGGCTGCGGCAGAAATTTAAGACTAACATTTGTGTTTTTGTTCAGGGTTTGGTTGGATCGCCTGTGTCATTGTTGAAAAGAGAGGTAAAACCCTGGCAATCTTTGAGAACCCAAAACGTTAGAAAGTTACACTCACAAATCCTTTGAAGAATAATAAGAATAATTATTCACTTTTTCGCTGAGAGTTAGGGTGCTTTCAGACCTAGAGTTGTCTTGCTTTGGTTTCAGTCAGGGACTAATTTTGTCACAAAGTTGCATAATTGCCTAGAGTTGGTTTGTGTTCTCACGGCAGCATTTACAAGTGGACCAGATAAAATGCCTTGTGTGAGAAAGCTGCTCTTGATTGGTCAGAATTTCCATGTGGGAAAAATCCAGGAAGTAAAGCAAACGTTGAAGAAGAGTACACTTGCAAGATAAATGTGACACTTTCTAATGTCACAATGGAGGTACAACTACGCAGGTTGATTTTAGCGCTGCTCATCGTGGACTATATTGCTGTCATTGTTCATTTTAGTCAAACCATACAGTTTGAAAACGAGGCGCGGCTCCAACTAGAAAACAATGTTTTGATGCATTGGATGTGCTGAATGTGCATATTAAGGCAGTACAGGAGGAGGTGCACATTAATAATCCTCCAGGACTGTAATATGCTCATGTTTAACCCAAACAATGTGTCATGTGACTGCAGTTGTTTGGAACACGTTCTCACCACAAACGAACCGCACCAGAGTTTGTTTGTAACCGCGCTGAGGCCACCTTTTCAAGAAGGTCTCAGCGTGGATGTTTTGGTGCGATTGCTGTGTTCACACCTGTCCAAATGAATCGCACTTAGAGGGCAAACGAACTAGAGTTTGACTGAACTGGACCAAACAGGTGTGAAGGCACTTTTAGACAAGAAAATTGATACCACTAACACTAAAGCCAGTGTCTGGTTAGCTTAGCACAAAGACTGGAAACCGCTAGCTTGGCTGAGCCCAAAGGTAACAAAATCTACCCACCAGCACCTCTTAAGCTAACAAGATATAACATCAAGCTCAAGGGACCCCTTTGATAGTGGCTGTGCAGTGTTTCCCTCCTCAAATTTTACCTATCTTTGGAGCATTATTCAGCCCCCTCCCAACAAGCTATGCCAGCACGGTTGATACCAAGCTTGCCTTCAGTCATCTAGTTTCACTTGATAGCTCTACCTTTGTAGTAGTAAGAAAATTAGCCTCGCCACAGCCTTTAAGAGACAGTAATATCAGCCTGTTAACGTGTGTCCCCTTTCTTACTTCCACAGGGCCTGACTATGTAAAGCAACCATTGAAGGAGCCTGTGGAGATTAAAGAGGTCCCTGTTGAAAAGAAGGACGACTCCCCAAGAGATTCTCCCCACTTCTACCGCAAAGGTACCACTCCTCCCCACTCCCCTGCGACCAGTCCTGTAGCCACGCCTCCCCCCTCGCCTCACTCCAGCAAGAAGAAGGGTCAGCTCGCCAACAGCACCAGCCGCAAAATCAGCAAAGAGGAAAAACCTTCCCGCAAGATAAGCAAAGAAGAGAAGTCAAGTCATAAAACCAGTAAGGATGAGCGGTCTAGTAGAAAGATCAGTAAAGAAGAGAGGCCGGCCGTCACCGACGGCCCCAAAGGTCCTCATATGCACCTCGAGGCTCCACCTAAACCTGCTAAAAGTCAGCAGCCCACCACAGAATCTGCCCCCCCTCCTGCGCAGCCCCCTGCAGTTCCAGTAAATGGCGAGCTCCACAGCGACTACCACAGTTACTATGTCAAAGCCCCTACTAGGGTCCGTCCACCCCCGGACCCTCAGGAGGATATAGAAGAAGAGCCTAGTATCCTGGACCTGGCACGTATGCCCCCACAACCCCCTAAATCGTATAGTATCCCCCCTGCTAAACCAGCCTCCATACGGGACAGCAAGGGCGACCCGAAACTCAGGAAGCAGGATTCCCTAAAGCCAAAGAGCCTCGCAGACACAAAGAAAGCCAGTATGGAGATTGCAGAAAACATGGAAGAAACAGTAAGTATCAGTGGTGTGATAGGAAAAGGTATATTTAAAGGAATAATTTGACATTTTGGGAAATATACATGTTTGCTTTCTTGTGTAGCGTTAGATGAGAAGATTGATTCTACTCTTATGTCTTAAAGCTGGAGCCAGCAGCCAGTTAGCTTAGCACAAAGACTGGAAACAGGGACAAACTGGTGACTGACAAAATCTGTCTCTATCAATCAAGAACACTGATTAACATGCTATACCTTCTTTATTTAATCCATAAAATCTCTGAAGTAGAAAAATGACAATCAGCATTTTGGACAAGTGAGGATCGGGAATAGTAACTTCCTTGAAATTCCTCTGGTGTGACATAGCATGTTAATTAAGCCACTAACACCCACCAACATCTGGCTTTTGTCCTCAGTCATGGATATTTGTTGGCTCCGACTTCAACTGACAGTGATGGAAACTTGACACCTGGGTGGTTACTTTTTTTGCCCCCTTGTAAGTGCGATACAATTACGTCCTGTCTCAAATACTCTTTTTCCATATTCATGTGCTGGCTTGGCTTGGTTTGGTTTGACTTAGCCGTCAGCCCAGCACCGCAGAGATTAGCATTTCTGTTACAACAGGGCTACCCGTTTGAAGGTGTGTCTTTAACTGATGGCAGATTATTATGAGTGATGACGTTTAAAAGCTACAGGTGGATCCATCGCAAGTGTTTTTCCATCATTCGGCAGGGCAGGTAAAAGAAGTTTACCTGTTGGAGGTGAGCTGTTTGCAGAGGTGAAGTAAGAGCTTGTTGTCTGCAGCTCTTCATCAATATCTCACTGTGGGGGTTTCTACTTTTACTCTTCCTCCCTTCGGTATTAGCAGACTTGTTTTTATTAATGAAAAGCCGCTAATAAAGTTCCTCTAATTTCGTGATAAACACATTTAGTTTCCTATAGATTTTTCACAATAAATTTTGTTATGTAAAAGCTTTTATTTTGAAGCAGCACAATAAGGAAATGTTGGGTTTTCATCAGCAGTAACTTAACGAGACTCCATACAGCTGAAAGCGAACATGAAACAGTAAAATAAAACATATCTAAAGTAAAAACAGGACGCAGAAACTAAACTCCAGAGAGATTCAGTAAGAAGCTGCAAAAGTATTGAGAGCTGAACACACAAAGACTTTAAAAACGTCTTTCTCCCTCGTCTCCTGCACAGACAGACGAGAGTTGAGACTTGCAACACACAGGCTTGTTTCAGGTGGACAGGAGGTGTTTGCTGTAGTTGGCAAGATGTCACTGCTACCAGCTTGGAGGCGGTCAGGTGCGCTTTGGCCCTGCTTCAAAGATGGTCCATCTCGGGCACGGCTTGGCGTGGCTCAACACCATTGGCGGCTGCTGGTCTTTCAAACAGGGGAAGCTCACTTTAAGTTTACATCATAAAATTTGTCATATTGTAGCGAGGCAGTAACTTCTAAAAGGAACATTTAATTGAAGCCATTTTTCAGCCACACCCATGCCATAGACCCACAGCAAAACACACCTCAAAGATTTTCAGATGGGTTTAAACACCTGAACTGTACTGTTACACACAGTGAAAACGAGCTATATCGCTTATGGAAATAAGGAACTCTGGACGGCACTCACAAATATCCACATGGGGCTGAGCTCGAAATGTGACAATGCTGGTGTGTATTTCCAAACCGCTGTCAATCACAAAGGGGTTTAGCCTTTTAGACAGTTCCTCCAATCATCATGCATACAACAAGCGTCCTCTCCCGCCTACCGCTCCATTAGGTCCCAAGGAAGCTGAGCCTCCCTTAAAGTGACAATTTTGTCACATTTATCCAATGACCGTCTTGCTTTGCTGCATGAAAAAAACCTGCTCAGCGCTGTCTCAAAGGAATGCTTGGAGGCTCCACGTCCACCATGCTGACACGAGAATGTATGACAGGGAGGTCGCGTTTGAAAACTGGTGACAAACAGCTGACGTTTGACCATCGTAGTCATGATGTTAAACGCATCCCAACGCACGTTTAATACAATGTAAATTCTTATTTTATTGTAAATTCAATAGTGCATATTTGACCATTTCTTCTATGAAATTTTAGGGGAAGTTCAGCCTCCCTTGTTGTCTCAGAGCAATCGCCCCTGCTCAACACGTCTAAACTGGTAATGGAAAGACAAATCGCCACGGCATGGTTTGACTCGGTACAGCCAAAAGTGGTAATGGAAAAAGAAATTCTGTCCGTCTCCGTCCAGGCAGTGCTTGAAAATCGTAGTCAGCATCCAGTTTAAAAGAGAGACACCATAACATTTTCCATGGCCTCCATGCTGCTTTCTGTTGGCTACTAACCCTGTTTTCCAGTGCGGTCGTTATACTGAACGTGACACACCAGTAAAAAAAGCAGGAAGGCATGTTTGTCTCCACAGGCAATGGGCAAGGAGTTTATAGCCTTTTTCCAGCAGGTTCCCCACATTTAAAAACCTTCGCATATGCGCTAATTTTGGTGGAAAATAGGTATTTGTGAGCTGTACAGGTGCCAGTAGGCAGATTTTGTAACCTATGGACAGAAACAGGCTCGCTGTTTGCCCCTGTTTCCAGTCTTTGTGTAAGCTAAGCTAACCAGCTGCAAGCCATAGTTTCATATCAACCATACAGACATGAGACTGGTATCAATTAGCTCATAGTCTCCGTAATGTACAACTGTTCCTTTAATATTTCTTACTTCTATCTATTTAAATGGTTCTGAATAACCTTGTCATGTGAATAAAGGCAGGACTTATGATTTGATTGCTGTGGGTTATTATGTGATATCTGATCTTTATCATAATGTCATTTTTTGCAGGGTCCTAACTCGATCCTTGTTGCTATGGTAATGCTGTTGAATATTGGCCTTGCAATTATATTTGTCCATTTTCTGACATGATGATGCTGTTTCTCAGGTGAGTTCATTAATTTTCCTGGACACTTTTATTCATCAACAAAACACAAATAAGGAGCAGATGAATTCATGTATTTCTAAAGATGAATCTGCCCTTTTTTTACTCATGCCTTGTGCGTCTGGTGTGCTACAATGTGTGTCTGAAATGTGACAAGCAGCCAATTAAATCCCAACAAACTGTTTTATGTTGCAGTAAAACCATGGCAACCGGTACAGTTGCATCGCCGGCCTTGAAAAATGAAAATGGCGCCAGAGAGACACGGGGGCGGCTGTAGGTGTTTAGGAATCAGCGTGACACTGAAGAGAATCAGGAGGAAGGCATCACCACCACCAACCTGTCATGGGCCTTCTTTATGGCCAGCCCTGTGAATTAGCACTCCTTTGGCTTTTGTGAAAGCTGAGGTGAAATGTCGTGTCTAGTGAGTTAAAAAAAAAAAAAAAAAAAGTTTAAAAATGCAACCAAACATACACAGTCTGAAAAAAGAAGTAATTGAAACCCACACGTGTGCTGATCCAAGCACTGGTCTCTGTAGCCCACTGCTTTGGCAGAGATAGCGGTGGGCTGACGGACTTTGCTGGAAGAGTGTGGAGATGCACTTTTAGATGACGGGAGCAAACAGCTGCCTTTCTATTTTGCCATCTGACGTTTTGATGGGGAGATGTGAGCCCGGCGGCCGGGGAGAGGGGGGAGGACAGTCGCAGCGGGAGCGTGCTCGGGTGTTCGGAGCGTTTTCTGGGGTTCACACCACTCTTGCAACAGGAAACTGGGCACGGCCGTTGCCAGCAGTCAGTGCTAGCACGGTCACTAGCCAGTCTTACTCTGTTTACCCAACCATCACCGCAGCTTTCTCGAGCTCCGTCCATTGTAACCCAGGATACACTGCTTTGAAACACTCCCCCTGCATGGTACAGTTTAACATTTTGTTTTTGTTTGTTTTCTGTTTTATCGTAGTTTTTCTTTGTTCATCATTGTTCTCTGAATGTTGGTTACCTGCAGTCATAACGCTTGTAGTTGAAAGATTCTTCTCCTCTCAAAATGAGTAAACACATTTGTTTTCCCTTTTATTTTGAAATTTTACTCATTTCTAACAATTGCGTTGTAATTTGACATTACACATTCATGTTACTGAAAGTGCAATATGTTTTATTTTTTCAGAGGAAAAGCTTATAGTATATTTTGCCAAAAAATGGGGGGTTGTACCATTATAAAAATCCTATGTTCCATTTATTTTTGTCAGACTCTCATAGTTTGAATAGACGGGTTTTGAGAGAGGGCGGCGCTTGACAGCTGCTGTTCAGGAAAGAGGTTCACACTTTGAAAGCTACCTAGCTCCGTGAGAGTGAAGTAATAAATGTCTTATGTTATTTATGAAACCAGAAGGAAAATAACTTCATTGCACATGTCAATGAACCATTTTGCTTGAATTCCTTCGTTCTATTCTTTGCTTTCAATGTTTCAGTATACCACTAAAAATGCAAAGACGCAGTTCACGCAGCTGCTCCTCTATGCCCGGCAGTGCTTGCGTGCTTGTGAGACTGGATCAAGACAGTCTTGTGGACAGTGGGAGGTGAATTTATTCAGGTTGAGGCCATGGGGAATGTGGCACCAGGGAGAAGGAGAGATGCCTTTAAAAGTCTTTAACAGTACTACTGTTTACCTCAGAAAAAGATGAGGAAAAGGGGGGGAAGAGATGCCATCCTTGTCTTAACTTTGTCGTGGGGGGGGGGATACTCTGACTGTTGTCATCATCTGAATCATGCTTTTAACTTGCCTCATCGTAGCTGTTAGTAGTCTTCGTTGCAGGTATGGCATGAGTTTCTTTGATTTTAAAAAAAGTGGTTATTTATATGGTTGACATTTACTGTCATCACTACCAAGGTTAATTATTTATTCATCGTACAACTGATGTGTTTGTGAACATTGGTCATCATAAAAAGGGCTTTAATACAGCTAGGTTTTCTTTGCTGCAATTCAGTTTTGAAGTTCAACTTGACGATAATGTCACATGCAGCAGCACATGACATTTGGAGGACGCTTCAGCCAGTTAGATGTTTGCAAACTGTCCACATAATTATTTAAATGTATTCAAAATGTGGAATAAAAGCAGACCAAGACACTAAATTATTCTAAAACATTGTTATATTACAAATGTGATGCATTAAATAATGATTTTTTTCACCCTTTCTTTGCTACACCCTCTTTTCTTGTTTTAACTGTCTTCACACGAGCGTGGTGAAGACTGGAGTTTCGGAGGGTTTAACAGAGCAGCCTGTTTCTGGGATATTTTTTGAAATGCAACATTGCATGTCGGAGTCATTTATATATAGATTATTATATACTATTTGTAAGGATTTTTACAGAGCACAATCCAGAATCTGGTATGAGTTGGTATTTTTCTAACAATTTGCACACCTGTATTTTGACAATGAATATAACTTGTTTGTAATTGGTAATGTAATGCACATATGATAATGTTTGACAGTGGAAAAAAAAGTACTTTATTTCTAATTGGTTGTACTGTATGTACCATTTGGGGATGTGAAAGGCAGATGTACTTGTTTGAGTATTTTAGGATATAACGCGGAACTGCGGGAGACTTTTGATATCTCAAGGTTCATGTTACCCCACTGATTTGTGCAAAGTCTTTGGAGATGAAGTTATGTGTATAACAATAAAGATGTTATGCCTTGTTAAACTACATTTTGCTCATTTCTGATGTTTTTACACTCTTGGATATGGTGGCAGACAAGGGCAAACGCGCTACAACGACCTAAAACATTTCCAGTAGAAGAAACATGCTATAACTTCAAAAATGATGTCGGTTCAATAACACATACAAAAACTGAGAACAGATACAACAACTGAAACGTGCTGCAAATAAAAAACATGCTGCAGAAAGCCAAAACAAATACATTAACAGCAAACACACTGCAAATATAGAAATTATGCCAAGTGAAAAACACACAAACCCCCAAAACAAATGCTACAGGAGCACACTGCATATCTAGTCAGCACAATGGGCGTTTTCCAGGGACTGGTTGCACAAATCTCCTTAAGTATGACACTTAATTTCTCCTTAGCTGAGGGACGTACACAGTTGCACAGAATCCCTTAAAAGATTTCCTTGTCCCTTAAATGGAAAAGGAAAAATGCGAACTCGTTGACTGCCTTAAAAGAGATTTTACAGCAGTAAAAGTTTCCATGGAGACTCATCTCAGAAAGTTGGCTTGTATTTAGGTAGTGAAAAAATGGCAGAAGAAAAAAAGACAAGGAAACCATATTGGTCAGAGGAGGAAAAGATTACATCTGGCGGAATACAATCATAGAACGCACATACACATAAGTAAATTTGATCCCCAAATACCTGAAAACAGAAAATGATTGATGAAAATTAATTTGGTCAAATCTTAAGCGTAAAATCAAAATTGTATGATAGAGTCAGAGGTACCTTAAGTTAGTTTTTTTTAATCTTGCTTTGGTTGCTAAGGTCTTTTGTGCAACAGTCTAGGGATTCCTTAAGTATAAGACCAAGACAAGGAGAAAACCTTAAATACTTAAGTCAACATTTTAAGGAAACCTTAGGAGAAAACTTAAGGATGTTTTGTGTAACCGCTTTTATTTTGAGGAAACCCTAACAAGGACTTAAAGGAAAATCTTAACTTAGGGTGTTTTGTGCAACTGGCCCCAGGCCTGTAGGGGAGCCTTAAGTACAACAGCCTGATTTTCGACCTGAGAGAGAGACCACACAAGAGAGTGTGGGTGCTTTTGAAGCAGGAAGAAAAGTGGAGTAAAGAGGTGACATAAAACACTACATATTTCTTTTTACACTCGGTCTAAGTCTTTCACAATATTATGGAAGATACTGCTCTATGTTTTTATGCCTCTGCGCCGGCGATAGTCATAGCTCGAGGCAGTATGTTGTCATGTTGTCCGTCCGTCCCATTCTAGTGAATGCAATATCTCAAAAACGCCCTTTTTTTCAAATTTGGCACAAACGTCCACCTGGACTCAAGGATAAACCAGATTCTGGTAGTCAAAGGTCAAGGCCACTGTGACCTTACATCCATGTCATTCTCGTGAACCCAATATTTAAAGAACACCTCAAGGGTATTAAAAGTAGGCACAAACATCCACTTGGACTTGATGAGCTTATTAAAATTTGGTGGTCAAAGGTCAAGGTCACCGTGACCTGTGTTTTTGGACAAATCTCAAGAATTCATATGCTAACTATGACAAAATTTCACACAAATGTGGACAAATGTCCACAAATAGGATAAAATGAAGAAGTGATAACAATATTTTTTCCCAAAGGTCGAAGGTCAGCTTTACTGTGACATCATAATATTCTGCAAAAACACTTCTCTGGCCATCACCCAAGATCATATCTCAGGAACAGAAGGGGAGACATTTGGTCAGATACTGAATTGGTGACTCTACTCTTGGGTGCTCACCTTGAAACTGTGCTGGTTGTATAAATCTTCTGTGCGTGTAAGATGTGCGTGAAGCATCCATGTTTTCACAGACATTAACTGATGTGTAGAGGAACACAACTGCGAGGCAGCAATGCTAGTTTTGACTTTGAAGGTTCTGCAGGATGTTTCTATTGTATTTGTTTTGTGTGTGCTTTTTAATTGGCATCCTTTCTGAAGCTGCAATGTGTTTCTCCAACTGAAAATGTTTTCATTAGCACGTTTCCCTTGTCAGCCACCGTACAACCACAAACAACACAGCACTACACAACAAACATTAATAGCACACTTACACTGGTTTAAAATCTACAGCTGGATTTGAATTGATGGATGCAAGGATTTCCACTTGTCTTATAAGAATGTTTTTAAATTCCAGTCTCATGTTCTCTTCTATGTATCTCCGAGGTTCTTAGACTCATCTGTGCTTAGCCTCTCAGCAATGATGGCCTCCTGATGACCTTCTCATAATGAGATCCGGGGGGAAAAGAGTAGGCATGAAATCAAAGTATCTTCATCGGGGTCTCACATTAGCGGTGCGAGCGCAGGCAGGTGCCCCAGTTTGTCTCGGGTCAGTTTTTACTGTTTCCACTGCTGATCAGCCTTGGATTAGTGTAGTGTTACACCAGCGATGGCACCTGCCTGGAATGACTAACGCCATGTCATGCACTCGCCGTGCCCTCTGCCCTGACGCCGGCAGCGACTGCAAAACCCGCACTTTTCTCATCTCGCTGGAACTGACTGGGCCAGCAGTAAATTTAATCTCCTAACTTAATATTGCTGCTTGTTTATCATACTTGCATCATTTGTTTACTTTGTCTCAGGTCGAAATATCAAGTGTCGTTATCCCTGCTGACAATTATAGCATGGTAGGCTTTTTGCCTCTGAAGGAATATTAGGAAGAGTGTATAACCCTGGCACTTACCCCTATGTGAAGCCGAACTTGTCAGTAATAGTATAGAATATCTCTGTTACTATTCTGATATGGCAAA